GCTGACAGCTGGCACAACAAAGCATTGCATGGGCAGTTCTTTGACAAAATTGAAGAAAAAGTTGATAAGGAGAAGACCTGGATATGGCTCACGAATGGAACCCTGAAGAAGGAGACAGAAGGCCCGATTCTTGCAGCCCAGGAGCAAGCCATCAGAACCAATGCCATTAAGGCCAGGATTGAAAAATCAGCTGATGACCCAAAATGCAGACTGTGCAAGGAAGCTGATGAAACCATGGACCATATCCTCAGCTGCTGCAAGAAAATCACATAGACGGACTACAAACAGAGTCACAACTCTGTGGCCCAAATGATTTACTGGAACTTATATCACAAGTACCACCTGCCAACAGTAAAGAATTGGTGGTCATAAACCTGCAAAGGTTGTGGAAAATGAACACGTAAAAATACTGTGGGACTTTCGAATCCAGACTGACAAAGTTTTGGAACACAATACTCCAAAATTGACAATATTACAATCTGTCATCTGCAAAAGGCCACCTTACTTGGATCTGCACGCATCATTTGAAAATACATCACACAGTCCTAGACGCTTGGGAAGTGTTTGCCTTGTGATTTTGTGATATGAAATCCAGCATATAGATCTTGTTTGCTGTGTCATACTGTGTTTGTGTGTCAACAACAACATCACTTTATTTATATCCCACCACCATCTCCCTGATAGGATTCGGCAGATAATAAAGAAACTCAGGAGTGCAAACATATAAATACAACAAAGTACATAAGCAAAATAACACAATAACAACAAAGTCCACATAAACAAATTACATAAAACATCATATAAAGCCGTTATCGATGTAAAAGATTCAATAAAATGCAGCAGTGGCTGCAGATATAAAATGAACTGTAATTAATATCAGTCCTGTAAAGCAAGGGTGAAACAAATCATTAGATCCTCGAATATAACAGATAGGGATTGTAAACATGGCCATAGGCTTGTTTGAAGTTTGTTGTGAAAGCTTGGAGAGTGGAGGCTAGTCTAATCTCTCTGGGGAGGGCATTCCAGAGCCAGGGAGCCATCACTGAGAAGGCCCTCCCTCTTGTTCCCACCAATGGAGGTGGGACCAAGAGGAGGGCCTCCCCGGCAGATCTTACTACTTACTTACTTACTTAGGCGATCCCTCGTAGTCCGAGGATGATAGTCCTCCAAGAGTGGTAACCTGGGGGTGGATCCATAGATGGCTGTGGAGCCCTATTCTTGATCTGCATCTTCTCCCACAGTGAGGGCATCAGTTTCCAGATGGGAGCCGGTCCCGGCTGGGGTTGGCTTGACGCGCCTTCCTCTTGGGATGTTTCTCTTTTTTGCCTCAATTCGTACCTGTTCAGAATCTGCAGCACTGCTGGTCACAGCTGACTGCCAACTGGAGCGCTCAAGGGCCAGGGCTTCCCAGTTCTCAGTGTCTAGGCCAGAGTTTTTAAGGTTGGCTTTGAGCCCATCTTTAAATCTCTTTTCCTGTCCTCCAACATTTTGTTTTCCGTTCTTGAGTTTGGAATAGAGCAACTACTTTGAGAGATGGTGGTCAGGCATCCGGACAACATGGCTGGTCCAGCGGAGTTGATGGCAAAGGACCATCGCTTCAATGCTGGTGGTCTTTGCTTCTTCCAGCACGCTGACATTTGTCCACTTGTCTTCCCAAGAAATTTGCAGGATTTTCCAGAGGCAGCACTGATGAATCGTTCAAGGAGCTGCATGTGATGTTTGTAGACAGTCCACGTCTCGCAGGCCTATAGCAGGGTTGGGAGGGGAATGGCTTTATAAACAAGCCCCTTGGTCTCCCTATGGATGTCCCGGTCCTCAAACACTCTCTGCTTCATTCAGAAAAATGCTGCACTTGCAGAGCTCAGACGGTGTTGAATTTCGGAGTCAATGTTGACTTTTGTGGAGAGGTGGCTGCCAAGGTAGTGCAAACATTTTCTAATGTTACACCATTAAGCTGTATTTCTGGCATCGGAGAGGGATTAGCTGGTGACTGATTCATAGAAGGAGATGTGATGTTGAAGATAGGTTGGACCTAAGATTTGTTAATACCACTGCAAAACACAAACAGGACTTTTTGGAGAAAACATTTTGCTCCTAACTGAAAAGATTTTGTTATAGAATGTGCCAAAGATGGCATCATTCTGTCTTGGAGAAGCACATCCCTTTTATTTCTTTATTTCTCCATAATATAGATGTGGAAGGAAGCCCAAAGAAAGCTATCTATCTATCTATCTATCTATCTATCTATCTATCTATCTATCTATCTATCTATCTATCTATCTCCACAATAGTTCATGCTGCACTAAAAACCAGCTTGTCTTAAAAATACTGCTGCATCCTGTCTCTTTCGCTTTTTCCCCCCTTCCTTCTTTTTGAGAGTAATGGAGTTGTAGAGAAACCACATTCCTTCTGCACTTTTCTGGGTGCACCTCTGTTAAAAAGTTTATGATTTTCAGAGCAAAGGTGACCTTTCCCTTTGTGCGTCAAATGGAGGCGAATGGCCCGTCTTCATTGGTAGCAGGGCACTGAGCCAAGTAAACATTAGTCAATCCGAGCTAGGTATGAAATTAAGTTACACTTTTGTTTGCCGGCCTGTGCCAGAGGCCCGCTTTGATCTTGGAAGGCTTTTCTCCAAATGGGTCTTGGCAGCCTGGCTTTTCCATTTGTTCGCTGCTTCAAGTGAAGTGAGTTATAATAACCACCTTGTGTGGTAGTGATTTCAAACAGATGACATTGTTTGGGTAATAATAAATGAGGGAAGGTAAACATGCTCGAATTAGCTCTTTCTGGGCGAAGGGCAGTGGTGCGGCTGGAAGCACTTGCTTATCCTGGGTTGTTACTGGAATTCATCTGCCTTTACTTTTTGCTCTGGAGTTGTTTAAAACCTTGAATTGTGACTTTATATTAATAGCAGTGCTTTGTGTGCATGTGAATGAACCTCTGGACCCAGTTTTTTCAGCATTAAACAAATATGTGGAAATTTATCTTCATTTGCATTGTCAACTGGAAAAAAGTTCTTCTGAAGCTGTTACCTGACAAGGAGCCCCCAAATCCTTGTGCTGGCAGGACTGAAGACTGACAGGTCAGAGGTTTGAATCCGGGGGGAGTGCGGATGACCTCCCTCTTTCAGCTCCAGTTCCCCATGCGGGGACATGAGAGAAGCCTCCCACAAGGATGGTAAAACGTCAGAACATCCATGCCTCCCCTGGGCAAGGTCCTTGCAGAAGCAACTTTCAGTCTCTCAAGTTGCTCCTGACACACACACACACACACACACACACACACACACACACAGAGGCGGCCCTAGGTAATTTTCAATGGTAAGCAAACAGTATCCCCCAACCAATCACTGATATATATTTTCTGTTCATCGTGGGAGTTCTGTGTGGCATATTTGGTTCAATTCCATCATTGGTGGAGTTCAGAATGCTCTTTGATTGTAGGTGAACTATACATCCCAGTAACCACAACTTGCATATGTCAAGGTCTATTTTCCCCCCCAAGAGCGCCCCTGAGCAAAGTCAACTATACTGCAAATGCTTACTTTGCGTTATAGGTTGAACTGCCCTTGCACACACACAACCTAATGTATAGTTGTCTCCACAATTAAGGAATTCAGGGCATTGCATGGGGTTTTCTCCCTCCTGTTGTTAATGGAGATGTTGCAGAGCTTGAAATAGTCTTGGGACCTTAACACATTAGGGTGGAGCTCCTGGTGGCGCAATGGGTTAAACCCTTGTGCTGGCAGGACTGCTGACCAAAAAATTAATGGTTCGAATCCAGGGAGCCAGGTGAGCTCCTGTGTGTCAGCTCCAGCTTCCCATGCAGGGACATGGGAGAAGCCTCCCACAGGATGGTAAAACATCCGGGTGTCCCTTGGGCAACGTTCTTGCAAACAGCCAATTCCCTCACACCAGAAGTGACTTGCAGTTTCTCAAGTTTTTTTATTTTATTTTATTTTATTTACAGTATTTATATTCCACCCTTCTCACCCCGCAGGGGACTCAGGGCGGATTACATTGTACACATATATGGCAAACATTCAATGCCAATTTGACATACAACATATACAGACATACACAGAGGCTATTTAACTTTTTCTGGCCACCAGGGGAGCTGTCTCCTTTCATTGTCCATCTGCAACACTGATGAAGTACTTCCGCATTCCCCGCATGCTTTTGCTGGAGTGCTTTGCTGGAGTCTTTTTTAGGGCCTCATAAATTAGTTAATGTAGCCTCCCCGCACAAGGTGGTACCTAATTTTCCTACTTGACAGATGCAACTGTGCTCCTGACACGAAAAAAAAATCACATTGGGATATACTCCCAATGCCATTCTCTCTTAATGAATGTTTTACTTATAGTTTTAATTGTTAGTATATTGTTGCGTTATGTAGTGGCATCAAATTGCTGCCAAATGTAAGCCGTCCTGAGTCCCTCTTCGGGGGTTGAGAAGGAACGGGATAGAAATACCAGAAATAAATAAATAAATAAATAAATAATATTCCATTTCTGAGACACTTTTCACAATTCCAAACGGGTCCTATCACATAATGTTTTCCCCATTCCATCAGTAATCTGTTGGAATCCGTTGGCAAAATGTTACAGAAATTGAGAAATTGCACATTGAGAAATTGCACATGGGATTCTAAGCATGTTTTTTAATTTACTACAATTTATACGTTGCTTGAGGTGTCAGTGTTCCACACTGGCTTTTTGCCATAGGTTTAGGTACCAGGTAGTATTTTTCTGGTAGGAGGAATCTCATTGGCATCAGCACCTTGGTGGACTTTGCTACTCAATGGAAAGGGCAAAATGTCCTTCTCTCTTCAAGTATATCTTCTCATTTCAGACATGTTCATCGGCTATTTACATGAAAGGTTCTGTGCCTTGAGGATGGGCATGTTGGGGAAGGCAGCGTTTGAGAGATGAACTTTATCAACGGGTTAAGATTAAACTCTTTGTGTTTGTGTCTTCCTCTCCCCTCTCCCCTTCCTTTTAGGGTGACTGCCTCATCACCATATTGCTCACTGAAGATGACCAAGTTGGAAATGATGATGTAGTTTTTTACCTAGTTTTCACTGGATCTGCTGTTCAACACTGTACCAGCACGAGGAAACTTGATTCAGGGAAATTGGAGACCATTGCCCCTGGTAAGCTTGCCGACAAAAAAATAAAAAATTGTTTATTTATTTATTTACAGTATTTTTTCCCTCTTCTCGCCCTGAAGGGGACTCAGGGCGGATCTCAGAACACATATACAGCAAACATTCAATGCCAAATATACAATGACAAGACATTCAAGAGATAGAGGTACAAATAGGCTTTTTCTCATCATTCGACATCTTTGGAGGCTGTGCTCGGTTCTGGCCACAGGGGGTGCTGTTGCTCCATCTCCTTGCTGAAGAGCTTTCTTTGTTTGTAAACATTCCTCCGAAACTCCAAGATTAAAATTCTTTAGGGGTCTCTTTCAAATCTATGATATGATACCTGTGTATGTGTGTGTGAATCATGTATATCTATCTATGGCTGGATGGCTCTTTGTCAGGAGGGCTTTGATTATGTTTTCTTGCCCTGGTGAATGGAGTTGGAATGGATGGCCTTAAGTATTTTCAGTTGGTCATGGGGGTTCTGTGTGCCCCAATTCCATTGTTAGTATAGTCAAGAATGCTCTTTGATTGTAGGTGAACTATAAATCCCAGTAACTACAACTCCCAAATGTCAAGGTCGATTTCCCCCAAACTCCATCTGTGTTCACATTTGGGCATATAGAGTATTCATGCCAAGTTTGTCCAGATCCATCATTGTTTGAGTCCACAGTGCTCTCTGGATGAGGTGAACTACAACTCCAAAACTCAAACCCTCCCAGTATTTTCTCTTAGTCAGGAGAACTGTGTGCCAAGTTTGGATCAATTCCATCTCTGGTGGAGTTCAGAATGCTCTTTGATTGTAGGTGAACTATAAATCCCAGCAACTACAACTCCCAAATGACAAAATCAATTTTTTTTAGTGAAGGACATACATTGGGTTGTTAGGTGTATGCTGTCCAAATTTGGTGTCAATTTGTCTATTGGTTTTTGAGTTATGTTAATCCTACAAACTAACATTCTATTTAATTTATATAGATATCTATAGCTGGATGGCTCTTTGTTAGGAGGGCTTTGATGACGTTTTCTTGTCCTGTTGAAGGGAGTTGGACTGGGTGGCCTTAAGTATTTTCTGTTGGTCATGGGGGTTCTGTGTGAGAAGTTTGACCCAATTCTGTTGTTGGTGAGGTTCAGAATGCTCTTTGATTGTAGGTGAACTATAAATCCCAAATGTCAAGGTCTATTTCCCCCAAATTCCATCTGTGTTCATATTTGGGCATATGGAATATTTGTGCCAACTTTGGTCTATCTCCATCATTGTTTGAGTCCACAGTGCTCTCTGGATGTAGGTGAACTACAACTCCCAAACTCAAGGTCAATGCCCACCAAACCCTGTTGGTCATGGGAGTTCTGTGTGTCAAGTTTGGTTCAATTCCATCATTGGTGGAGTTCAGAATGCTCTTTGATTGTAGGTTAACTATAAATCCCAGCAACTACAACTCCCAAATGACAAAATCAATTTTTTGAGTGATGGTCACTCCTTGGGTTAGTAGGTGTCTTGTGGCCAAATTTGGTGTCAATTTGTCCAGTGGTTTTTGAGTTATGTTAATCCCACAAACGAACATTACATTTTTATTTATATAGATTAGCTTCATCTCAGCATAGGCAAGGCCACATCTTGTATATGTGTGTGTATATATGTTTTGTGTATATATGTGGTTTTGCGCATGCATTGTAATGTATTTTTTATTTTTTGGCTTTTAAGTCCCTTCCGCAGTGTTTTTCAGTGTTTTTAATGAGCGATGGTCACTTGTTGGCCTAATAGGTGTATTGTGTCCAAATTTGGTGGCAATTCGTCCAGTGATTTTTGAGTTATGTTAATCCCACAAACAAACATTACATTTTTAATTCTATAGATTACAAGCAATGGCTCGGAGCCTCGACCCTATTATAAGCTGAGGGAGGCTTTTTCAGCCCCCAAAAAGGGCTGAAAAACTCTTATTTGGGTATATATGGTATATCCTTGGTGGAGCATTCAGACATACCTCTTCCCTCCACAGCCAAAACTAGTATAAAGTCTACTAGCCATCCCCTGCCACGCATTGCTGTGGCCCAGTCTGTTGATCTGGAAAATAAAATAATGAGAAAATGTTGGTTTCTAATATATGTAATTTTTTTATGCTTGTGGGTAAACAGTATTTCTTGCTGTTTCTTTGTCAGTGTTGATGTGGAGAGTGTCTGGTTTGCCTACTCTGGATATGCAACATATCATTGTCCTTCTTTAAGGGGTCCCTTTAAAATCTATGATACTATATCTGTGTGTGTGAATCATATCTATCTATATCTATGGCTGGATGGCTCTTTGTCAGGAGGGCTTTGATTATGTTTTCTTGCCCTGGTGAAGGGAGTTGGACTGGATGGCCTTAAGTATTTTCTGTTGGTCATGGGGGTTCTGTGTGGGAAGTTTGCCCCAATTCTGTTGTTCGTGGGGTTCAGAATGCTCTTTGATTGTATGTGAACTGTGAATCCCAGTGACTACAACTCCCAAATGTCAAGGTCTATTTCCCCCAAACTCCATCTGTGTTCATATTTGGGCGTATTGAGTGCTTGTGCCAAGTTTGGTCCAGATCCATCATTGTTTGAGTCCACAGTGCTCTCTGGATGTAGGTGAACTACAACTGCCAAACTCAAGGTCAATGCCCACCAAACCCTTCCAGTATTTTCTGTTGGTCATGGGAGTTCTGTGTGCCAAGTTTGGTTCAATTCCATCGTTGATGGAGTTCAGAATGCTCTTTGATGGTAGGTGAACTATAAATCCCAGCAACCACAACTCCCAAATGACAAAATCATAATTTTTTGAGTGATGGTCACTCCTTGTGCTGTGAGACGTTTTGTTGCCAAATTTGGTGTAATTTCATTCTTTGGTTCTTTTGTTTTTAAGGTACTCATTATGCACAGAGCACATAGATAGATAGATAGATAGATAGATAGATAGATAGATAGATAGAAGAGAGAGAGAGAGAGAGAGAGATAGATGGTAATTTAGCTTCACTGATTGATTTTAATATACTGTTTGGATTTGATGGGAGAAACATTTTGTGAAAGGAAGCCTTCTAATTCTCCAGCGCTGGAGAAGAGTCATGGATATGAAGCCTAAGAAGGAAAGCTGCCTTCGTGTTTTGCGCTCTCCTCCGTCCTGCACCACATACTTGCATGGCTTGTGGATCAAGAAAACCTCACTTTGGTAAACAGAGGCTGGTGGTTTGGTTGCAAAGCATGAACCTTTCAGTTATGGTGTTATCCTTTGCAGGGCTAGCTGTCTTCTAACCGCCGGTCCCACGCCAAATGTATGTAATTGCATCCCTAAATTGTATATTGAATCAGGTTCATGCAAACCATTATGGGGACTCAAAGCCAGTGTTATTTGACTGCTGCAGGCTTAATAATGAGTGAGAAATGAACTGTAACAGAAATCAATCCCTTGTTTATACAGAGGAGGAATTGTGGGGGAAAGTGGGAAGCGGGTGGCATGGAGAGTAGGAAGAAGTTTAATGGCTGGCTTTTCGTCTAAAACATTATCCGAGCGTAATTTTCCACACTGCTCCACTGACCCAAATTGAATGCAATTTTTATGCTTTCAGGACAGTTTTTTAAGCTTAACTCAGATCTATCTGAAAGGAGCTGCTGTGGCTCGATGGGTTAAACCCTTGTCCCTGCTTAACTGCTGACCTGAAGGTTGGAGGTTCAAATCCCAAGATGGGGTGAGCTCCCATCTGTCAGCTCCAGCTCCCCATGCGGGGACATGAGAGAAGCCTCCCACAGGCGTCTCTTGGCAATGTCTCTGCAGACAGCCAATTCTCTCACACTAGAAGCGACTTGCAGATTCTCAAGTCACGTCTCACACAATAAAAAAATGTTTTTTATTTATTTATTTCCTATATTTATTCTCGCCCCTGCGGGAGGACTCAGGGCAACCTTACAAAAGCACCATACGGTGTCATCAGTGCATTAAAAATATTAAAATTATATTAAAACAGTAGTTAAAGCAATTGATTAATACACGCCTATTAAAATCGAAATCCAAAAATCCAGTCCAGGTCAAATCATTGCCATAAATGTTAAAATCTTCTTTCATTTGTTGTTCACTGATCGAATGCTTGGTCCCATAGCCAGGTCTTGATTTTCCTTCTAAAAGACAGGAGGGAGGTGGCCACTCTGATATGTCTGGGGAGAGCATTCCACAGGCGGGGGGCCACTGATGAGAAGGCTCTGTCCGTCATCCCCACCAGTCACATTTGCAATGTCAGTGGGATCGAGAGCAAGGCCTCCCCAGATGATCTTATGTTTCGTGATGGTTCGTACCAGGAGATATGTTCGGACAGGTAGTCTGGGCCAGAACCATTTAGGGCTTTATAGGTTAAAACCAGCACTCTGAATTGTGCTCGGAAGCTGATCAGCAGCCATTGGAGCTAGTGTAACAGAGGAGTTGTGTGCTCCCAGTACGCTGCTCTGGTGAGTAGCTTGGCTGCCGACCGTTGGATTAATTGAAGTTTCCGGGTAGTCTTCAAAGGCATCCCCATGTAGAGTGCGTTGCAGTAGTCTATATGGGATGTAACCAGAGTGTGGACCACCGTGGCCAGAAATCTGAAAGACACCAGATCTAGTTTGATTTGGATGCTAAGCATAGCCAGATTTACTTAGCACTTGGATGTGAGATTGCCAACAAATGCCAGGTGTGATAGGATATATTTCAGAGGATTTCACCACTGGGGATTTCTCACCTATGAAATGTATGGGTTGCCATAAATGGATAGGCGACTTGAAGTCCTATGCACAACTATAAACAAGTGGGGGAGTGAGTGCCCCATTTGCAGGAAATGTCTTCTGTGGTTGGAGTGCTGTCAGCTGATGCCTGGATGCGGAAAGTAGAAATGTCCTCACGTTAACTCAGAGAATGTGTCCATTCTTTTCAGTCTGTCTGCACAGAGAAAACATTTCAATATCAGCTTGAAACTGCATGAAATTGTCAGTACAAATGTGCTATGATAAAGAAAACATCTCTTGTC